GATGGTGTGCGCAGACTGGAATTGATGAGAAACTTATTCACGGTATGAGTTTTGTGGACGATGTAATGATGATCATAATAACAAGTAAGGAAGATCAAACGAAAGAGTTGGAATGTCTGAAATCTTTTCGAACATGCTACCACCAATCTCTAAAACTTGAAATCACATCAGACAACGCGAACACAGAATGGACATATCAGGAAACAAGGGTGACGAAATCAATCAACGAACAGAATCATAAGATATGATGAAAGTCGCTCCAGATTGAAGGCATGTTGGAAATCGACGACGACAAGGACAACACAGTGAGCGACTGCGGGAGATCCTGAGGATAAATGATGAGTACACTGCAAGGATAGGGAAAGTGGCGGAAAAGAATTGGGAACGAAGGGTATAAATACTGAAGATAGTGGCTGAAATGATTACCTGAGCAGTGAGGTAGAAGGGTAATCACGACTGGTGTCGCATGCCATGGACATTACGTGTATGCTGTGAAAGTAAAACCTCGCACGTTCTGTCTACATTTGCATGTGTTTATCTTTTTTTTTTTTTTTTTTTTTTTCTCTCTCTCTCTCTCTCTCTGGTAGCCCCCCCCCCTCCTCCCTCTCTCTCTATCTCTTTCTCTCTCTCACACGCATAACAATAAATGGAACAAAACTCTCTCTCTCTCTCTCTCTCTCTCTCTCTCTCTCTCTCTCTCTCTCTCTCTCTCTCTCTCTCGTGTTAGCTCTTAGTCTCATTGATTTGGCTACCTTAGGGCTGCGTTCCCCGCGCCCACGCGGTAGACAATTTTATTTTGTTCAGCTTATGGGATGGGGGTTCGGGTCTGTCCTTTCCTGTTTACCCCTTCCCCCCCCTCCCTCCCCTCTTCCCCCCACCCTTTTCTTCATCTTGAGTTGCTGCATTCCGGGAGGGGGGAGGCGCTTTCTTCTTCGGGTGGCCAATCTTCCGGTCTTTACTTCCCCATCGCTAGCTCTGCCCCAGCCTCCCATTGTCCGCCTCTCCCCCGCTCCTTCCCTCCACTCTCCCCCTTCTTCCCCTGCTCTTTCTCCTTCTTCGGGTTTCCACGCCCCTACTGTCTTCCCGGGAACACAACCCACCCTCCGAATGACTGTATGGGACTGGAAAAATAGGTTGGATACATTCATGACCAGGGGCGTGGTGTTGGGGGGGGAAGAGGCCCGCTGCCCCTAGCCCCGTCGTTGTCCCGCCCCCACCATCCTCTGAGCTTAGTGCTTGAGGTGGAACGTAGTTTTTTTTTTTTTTTTTTTGGGCTTTTTGGTCTGATTTTTTTTGGGCTTTTTGGTCTGAAAGCAAGCGCTCACCCAGCGCAGAAAGGCAGAGAAAAAGGGAGAGCTTGTGGAATGGGCCCTGAAAAAAAGAATAGAATGGGCCCTGAGAGAGTGGCAGTAGAGACCTTCCCCGTCTTCCCCCTCTCCATCTCTCCGTCCGTAAAGCTCATCGAAAAATCCCTACACTTATAAAAATCGCTAATATAAAAATCGCTAATATAAAAATCGCTAACGTGACAATTCTTGGATCCGGGCCGTCTGTGGACCTACCGGGCCGACGGCCCGGATTCGGCCCCCAACCTCGAACTTCGTCCTCGACCTTAAAGTTTTAAGGTCGGGGCGGCGATCCAGGCCGTTCGGGTTTACCGGCCCGACGGCCCACATCGCCCCGCGGTCTTAAAACTTTAAGGTCGCGGGCCAATCCGGGCCGTCTGACCTTGAACGGCCCGGATAGCCGCGTGCTGCTTGGGGAACCGGTAGGGCCTTTCAGACCGTTGCGGCGCGGGAAAGCGTTGCAGACCGTTGTTACCCGCCCGCCCAACTACTCTAGGTACGCGACGTGCCACGCTACGCGACGCGCTACAGCCCTAGGAACTATCTTGGACGCTGCCTACGCGACGAAGTGCTGCTACTACTCGACAAACTACCAGACGCCCTACGCACCCTTGCGACGAACATCTTCATGCGTGCTCCCTACACCCTCTCTCTCTCTCTCTCTCTCTCTCTCTCTCTCTCTCTCTCTCTCTCTCTCTCTCTCTCTCTC